CTGGGGAATTCTGGGAGTTGAAGTCCACTCATCTTAAAGTGCCCAAGTTTGGGCAACACTGGCTTAGGTAGAGGACCACCCTCAAGACCTCCAGGGAAACCCTTATGCTAAAACCCCAAATTCTGACGGTGCCCAAGACGACAATTGGCTCCCCGTGCAAAATATCCTCTTATCCTCCTTCCCGAAATGTTTAGCAAGACGGTCAGAGCGCCAAAGCTGAGCCTTAATCCAGCTTTGATTCTTTTAAAAAAAAAAAAAATGGAAGAAGCTAGGGCTTTTCCTGGCCCGAATGCAATTTACTGCATTTACTTTACTGCAATTTAATTTTTAAAAAAAACAGACATGTGGATTGGCAAAGCACGTCAAGCACGTCCAGAGTTTATTTTTGATTCATCGTTGGTTCATCATCTTCTCGGACTCTCCTTTCCCTTTTTTCGAAGTGTTTTTAAATGGATGTTTTATGGATTCGTATAGATTTATGGTTTGAATGCTCTGGGTGAGTCGCCCAGAGTTCCCCCATTGGGGGGAGATGGGCGGGGGAGAAATGTAATAAATAAATAAAATTTTCTTAGGGGAACAACGTGGGGGGATGAGATCTTTTTGCACTTGGGAAGATCTGGATTCGAGCAGCGGGACCGCGGTAGGCCGGTGTGAGCGGTTTGAATTTTTCCTTCCCTAGGTCTGCGTTCTAGGAAAAGGATGAGCGAAGATGTCAAGCGCAGGTCCGCAGCTACGGACAAGGACGAATTTGTCCATTTCTTCCCCCAAATTGTCCGGGATCTGACGGAAGACGAGCTTCACCCCCCCGAACTGGCCGACGCTATCGCCAGGCTGAAAAAGGTGGGTTCCCGGCAAAGCCCTGCTTGGCTACGTATACCAAATCATGATTTGCTCACAAGCCACCATGCGCGGCACGCTGTTCTTAGCCACAATCGCTGCAACGCCTTCCCTGTCGTTTCCTCCCTAGGTGTTAGAATATAACGCCGTTGGTGGGAAATATAACCGCGGGCTAACGGTGGTGGCTGCTTTTCGGGAACTAGCCAGACCAGACCAGCTTGATCCGAAGAGCCTCCATATTGCCCTCGTCGTGGGCTGGTGTGTTGAACTGGTAAATTCCTTTGTGACTTCTCTCCAAGTCTGCAACGCACGTGTGGCTTTTCCGACCCGCTGAGCTGCGTGTCCTCTGAGCTTTAGGGAGGGGAATCGCTCTTCCCTCCGTACCTCGGTCTTCTCACGTTACTAGTCCTCAGTGTTGTGACTTCCCAATTAGGTTCCGGTTTGCAGAGAATCAGCTGCAATCGAACCGCGTGTTGCAAAATGGATCGGGGGCCCTTTAGGTTCTCCAAGTTTTTAGAAGCGTGAAATGACATGACAGTGTTGTGATTCCTCCAGCAAGTTATTGGGCAGATTAGAAATATATGGATGATGGTCATATTTGTTTGTTTATTAAATTTAGGGGTGAGGTGCGCCCCTACCCTCCCAATTTTTCCGAGGGAATTGAAGATTTGGCAGTGCCGACTTGCCTGGGGGGAGGAAAGATACAATCGACCCTGGGGATGGCTGGCACCTTGACGATGCGCCTAAATTAACATCTGCCTCTTGGAAGTATTATACAGGAAGTGTGTTTTTAACCTATCTAATTAATACATATTTATCTATTTTAATCAATCTTTATTCTATTTTTGCTGTAAACCGCCCAGAGTCACCCCACAGCGAGGTGGGCGGTGACACATTTGAAATATAAATAAATATATAAATCAATTTATGTGCCATCCATCTGCCCCAGAGGGTGACTCTGGGCGGCTCACGGAGAAACAGTCAAAATATAAATATATCATTTTAATTTTGAATTCAATTTCAGTTCAGTTTTAAAAATGTAGGTGTCATCATTTTAATTACGATCAACGACGTTATTATTTTTAAAAAAGAAAGCATCGCTCGCCTCCATTCCTGCTTTCTCTTCCGCGCTTACGTCACTGGAGGAAAAAAAAATGCTTCTTCTTCTCTCGCCACCTGGAAAATGATGGCATCTGGTTTCGTTCTAGCTCCAGGCCTTTTTCCTAATTGCAGACGATATCATGGACTATTCGACGATTCGCCGGGGCCGACCTTGCTGGTACAAACAGGTAATCTGAAATGATCCTAAACTGTGATGGAATGGAATTATGAAGGCCGAGCTCAGGGAGATAAGCATTTTCTTAGCTCGCCAGAACAGCGTGGGAGG